CAGCCATGTATTTCCGCTTCTTTCATTTATTCGTTCACTGGTTGAGTTTTCAAACCCCTCTATCTCCTGACTGCTGTTCTCCAAACATACTCCACCTCATCAATGATGCTGTTAAAATTTATTCTTCAATATTGAATGGAGTATTCCAGGTGTTGAGGAAACAATGAATGGGGCTTTTAATGCTATTTGTGCTGCTTACAGAGGGATTCGGCCAGATTAGCAGGATTGAGAAGCTTCCATTGTGAGTGGTCAGTTTATGAATTTCGAATCAGGTCCACTTTAATTCCTTATGTGGAAAGCATATGGGGGAGGGCGACAGAAAAAATGATCGTCGCGCAGATTGTTGTTTGGTTGCTGGTACTGCCAGCTAAGTCGGAAAAAGCAACAATATCATTACGTAGCGTGGCAGTGTTAGAATAAGCTCTTTGTGATGTATACATCCATTATAGAACGGGTCGGAATGGGATCTTGTTAAAACACAGATTCCAAATACTTCTAATGTTTGCAAAGATTTCAGCAACTTAAAGCTTTAGAATTAAAAGCAGGGGATGGTATTTGGATTCAGTGTTTGATTTTGGTAGTTGACAGCAGTAATTGATTTATTTATAACATCATTCTACTGACATTGTTTTATGTTTTACACATACATGATTTGTGCGGTTTAGTTTTTGGATCCAACATCAATTTTATTTTTGTCACAGTCAGAAGTATTAAGAAAAAATTTTCAAAGATTATCAACTTGCATAAAATCACCAAATTTCTCCTTTGTGTTTTGGCATTCTAGAGATCAGGAATATAATTTGACTTATTTTTATAGTGTGATTTATTATTTAAATAAGAAGTGAGCAACAAGCCCCTGAACTAGGTCAGTAAAAAGGAGGAAGAGAGCAGCTTATTCATAGGTAACAGTTTTTTGTTGTTGTTGTTGTTTGTTTTTTTTGAGACAGAGTCTCACTTCGTTGTCTGGGATAGAGTGCTGTGGTGTCAGCCTAGCTCACAGCAACCTCAGACTCCTGGGCTCAAACAATCCTCCTGCCTCAGCCTCCTGAGTAGCTGGGACTACAGGCATGTGCCACCATGCCCGGCTCATTTTTTCTATATATATTTTAGTTGGCCAATTAATTTCTTTCTATTTTTAGTGGAGACGGGGTCTCGCTCTTGCTCAGGCTGGTTTCGAACTCCTGACCTTGAGTGATCCTCCTGCCTGGGCCTCCCAGAGTGCTAGGATTACAGGTGTGAGCCGCCACGCCCGGCCATAGGTAACAGTTCTTATCCTAAATATGCAACCATGTCATCAGTTGTTTCCCACGTTGTCTTCTTCCAAAAAAGTATATCCAGCCACATTGATGCTCCTGGGCTATTTGGCTCTCCAGTGACTAGACAGGGGACTAATTACTGTCACCATTTGGGAGATAGTAACTGTTGCAGGCAAGAGTGATGCTAAAACTTGTGGCTGAAGGTACGATGAGAAACAGGGTGTTTACGTAGTCTCAGAGTCTTCCCCCAAAGATGCTTATTAATAACAGTGGGAAAATAGTAATGTTTGCAGTGAGGAAACCTCGTTAGATGCAACCTTAACTGACTGGTCAGAATTAACATGGTCAGGAATGAGACGCGGACATTATGAGCCTCCTGGCTGGATGTACCAAGAAGGGCGTAACGATACTTCTGCGTTATGTTTGCCAAAGTGTGCAGCCTGAATTTAGTCACAAGGAAGCATTAGGCAGACCCAGATTGAGGGACGTTCTATAAAATAAATGGCCAGTACTCTTCAAGTGTCATGAGAGACAAACTCTCCCAGGTTGGAGGAGACATGGCAACTCTATGCAACACAGGATCCTGGAGCAGAAGAAATGGCATGAGCAGGGGTAGTTGGCAAAATTTGGATAAGATTCGTTGTAGGGTATTTAATAAATTGTGTGTTGATGGTTAATTTGCTGGTTTTGATCGTTACAACTGTGGTGTGATACAGGAGACATTTGGGGAACAACGTTTGGGGAAGCTTGGTGAAGGGGGTGCAGGAATTCTTTTACTATTTTTGGAGATTTTTGTAAGTCTGAAGATTTCAAAATGAAGTTAAGCAACAACAAAGATAATTCAACTCAGCTGAAAATTATGGCTTTAATGCTTGTGCTTTGCGACATCGCTTTTGATTGGTCAGTAGCTGATTTTCTTTGCTTCCTGGATCTCCTTGGTGATCTGGAAGGAGGGCTGAGGTTTCTAAGTAATGACTCTCGGGATGTGCGAGGCATGGCTGTGTTGAATTGCAGCTACACTTTGAAAAAGTTTTGCTTAAGTAATTTACTTATTTATTTTTGTACAGAGCTGTAATTACATCGTTGGGTGTCCCATAGCTGGGCAGGTTATTTGAGCTTTCGTCTCATAGCCACCAGAATCCCGAGCTGGAAACTTAGCTCTGTAATTAATTTACCGGCTTGTTTGTTTTTATTGTGATGCTGTGAATTCAGGTTAATCCCATGGATTCTTCTGCTGTGTGTCATATGTTATTGAATTTCATGTCTGTTGGTTGTGTCTTAGGAAGAGGTGATTTTTTTTGTGTGTAAACACAGTTAAACTTGAAATCAGACTAAATATCTTAGAAAAGACAATCTAGAGTTTTTATAAGTATAGTGAATAGTAAATGTACACTGGCATAAACACCAAGTGGTAATCTTTTATTGAGTAATAATTAGAATGGAGGAAATACACTGGGAGACTTTTCTGTTAGCAGGAGCAGTCGTTAATGTGTGACTCATGGGTTCTTACCTCTGGGCTGTCATGACTGGTGTGGGAGAGAGAAGGAACTTGAACTTGGGAGTCAGAAGACCTACTTCTGAGTCCCAGATCCATGAATGTTTATTAGACGTTGCATATCCCTTCTCCAAAATGCTTGAGACCAGAATGTTTTAGATTTTGGACTATTTGCATATATTTACGCAACAAGCACATCCTTTCTGTGTCGTTGGCACTCAAAACATTTCAGCTTTTCAGATTGGGGATGCTTAGCCTGTGTAGTATGTGAGCCTTAAGTTTCTCATCTGTAAAACTGGAATCATCATAGGAACTGGCAAAGTTATTTTGAGAATTGATTGAAGTTGCCTGTAATGTACCTGGCCTACAGAGGGCATGTCATACCTTCTGGTTCTCTTCTTTTTTTTTTGTTTTTGTTTTTGTTTTTTTTGAGACAGAGTCTCGCTTTGTTGCCCAGGCTAGAGTGCTGTGGCATCAGCCTAGCTGACAGCAACCTCAAACTCTTGGGCTCAAGCGATCCTCCTGCCTCAGTCTCCCAAGGAGCTGGGACTACAGGCATGTGCCACGATGCCCAGCTAATTTTTTCTATATATATTAGTTGGCCAATTAATTTCTTTCTATTTATAGTAGAGACGGGTCTCGCTCTTGCTCAGGCTGGTTTTGAACTCCTGACCTTGAGCAATCCACCTGCCTCGGCCTCCCAGAGTGCTAAGATTGCAGTCTGGTTCTCTTCTTACCCCCAGCTGGGTTTATAACTACGCCATCAGCAGTTGATGAGAATCTGCTTCTCTGATAAAGACTATGAAAAGATGATAGCATGTCAGTAATCTCTACCTGCATTTCCCAGCCCTTTTTGTCAGGATGTTTCCTGTATCTCTTTCTTATTCCAGAGAAATGATTTTCTTTTCTATATTAGCCACATTAAATAAATATTACTCCAAAATTTATTAGACAGCTGTCACTCATTTGCTAGACTTTCCATGATGTTTTAGCATTCTTATCTGAAATCACTTGATACAAATAAATATTAAACTCCTTTTAGAAGAAAATCTTAGATGACAATTTGTAAGATAATTGCAAGGAAACATTTCCCTGTATGGCTTCCTTTCAAGTTTTAGGCTGGGGTTGGAGTTTTGATCTTCTAAGAAGGGCCAATTATTATTGTTCCTATTTTATCTAGTTTCAAAAGTACTTTCCTTTATTCTTAAATTGTCTGCTTTGATGTCATACTGTGATTTTGTAAGTGAACATTATTATTTTTAGGAATTATACGCTGAAGTGTTTAGGGTTGAAGGAACATGTCTGCAGCTTACCCTGGATGGTCCGGCAGCCAGTGCTCTGTGTGTGTGGGTGTATCTTTCTACCTGTGGAGCAGAGGGACGGGGAAGGGAAGCAGTCACGGCAGTGTCAACAGTTGGTGAACTGAGGGAGGGTCCACAAGTGTGCTGTGGGATTTTTACAGCTTTTCGGTGAGCATAGAAGAGTAGGAGGTAATTCAGCAAGTACACATTGTGAGCTTTCTAAATTTGAGAATCCAGCATTCAAAATGCTTCCAAATCTGAAACTTTTTGAGCACCCACATGACATTTGAAGGAAATGTTCATTGGAGCATTTTGGAATTTACATTTTTGGATTTGGGATGCTTCACTGTTAAGTATAATGCAAATATTCCAAAATTTAAAAATAACTGAAATCCAACACACTTCTGGTCCCAAGTATTTTGAATAAGGGATACTAAACTTGTAGTAACTCACTGGCAAGAAATTAATTGTACCTTTAATTTAATCTTTTTTTTTTTAAACCAAGTGAGAATTCATGTTTTTGTAGAAGGGCCTGTATAGATAAGAGAGTAAGCTGCTGCTTTATCAAAGCAGAGAAAACTACCTGGAAGTGAAATCAGATGATAGAAAGTAAATATTAAAAAAAATATTTACAAGACATGCACAAGGATAAAATGAAATGTATAAGTCAGAGATATTAGGACTTTTTAAATTATCCAGTGCTCAGATAGTCTTTCTTCTGCTGGAGAGATACAAGTTGGTTTTCTATAATTAGCAGCCTACCCTGCTAGTTAATAGACATTAATTTATCCTTTCAATTACTATTTGGTTTCAAAGATAATATTTGGTATTCTTATTGCAAATTTATATGATGTTTGTTACATTTTACCTTCAAAAAGAGTCTTCTAAACTATATTTCTTTTTTTCTTTTCTTTCATGTCAATGATGACTTCTCTTTTGGGAACTCAGGGGCCAGCCAAAGGTAAGAGATTTGGTTTATTATTTGATGTTTGTAAAGATCTTATGTGCATATTTTTGAACTACTGGAAGTTTTCTTCTCAAAGTGAAAATACTTTGTTTTATAAAAGTAATGTAAGCTGCCTGACTGCTCACAAATCTGAAGCTGTTTATTGGCATAGGAGGGGCTGGAGGTTTATGGAAAAGCTGTGTTTGTACTTTGACCAATTTTGGCCAGTCTCCTAGCAACTACAACACAGATTCCTTTTGTGCCATAGATTGGCTCAAAGCTGGTAGTTCCAGACTGTGGTCAAACTGTGCTAGGCCGACTCATCCTCCTCCTCCCAAGACAGCTGGGAAGGCCTTCTCAGGCCAACAGAAGCCTGCTCTGCCCACAGCTGACTCAAGGGAGGGAGTGTGCTTTGATCTCAGATTTGAACCCAGATTCTAAAGAAACTTCTGTGGGATGGGTTAGTTCCTCTGGTTCTTAGGGATTTTTCTTTTTTTTCCCCACCTAGTTTTTAAGTGTGCATCTTAGGGAATTTATAGGCATGTTCAAATGGGCACAAGGACTGTATTTTTGTTTGATTGGTTTTGGTTTTTTTGAGACAAGGTCTCACGCTGTCACCCAAGGCTGGAGTATAGTGGCACAATCATAGCTCACTGCAGTGTCAAACTCCTTGGCTCTAGGAATCCTCCTGCCTCAGCCTCCGAGTAGCTGGGATTACAGGTGCATGCCACCATGCCTGGCTAATTATTTTTTCTTTTTAAGAGTGATGGGGTCTCCATATGTTGCCCAGGCTGGTCGCAAACTCCTGGTCTCAAGTGATCCTCCTGCCTTGGTCTCCCAAAGTACTGGGATTAGAGGCGTGAGCCACCACGCCTAGCCTGTGTTTTTTAATTGACTATTCTCTACAGTGACTTGGAACCTCTAGGAAATTCAAATTTTTATTTCCATTCTTGGGGTTTTGTTTTTGCTTTAGAGTCTGTGGTTGAATTGTAATTCTGTTCTTTGTCATTGTTGCTAAAATACATCTAGACATCACTGTTTGGGACTCTGAAGGACTTTAAAAAAACAGTTGAACATGGTATTGATTTCTTTATTTATGTAGGCTTTACCTCATCTTTTCTATGGGAAAGTCTTGGATTATTTTTGTTTTCTTGTTTTTCTTGGAGCAGAGGCTAGAGATTGTGAGGGCACCATTATGTGATGATTTAAAAGCTGCTCATGTTTTATTTAATTCAGCTGTGTCATAGTGTTTAGAGAAAATGTTGTGTTGATTAAAAAGCATGGAAGGATAAACACCATGTTATTAGCCAGGTGGTTACCTCTAGGGAGAGGTGTACTTGGTGAGGGGAGACCTTTGTTTTTTACTGTATGCTTCTGTTATTTGGATTTATTACGGTGAATGTGTATTTCTTCTCTGTTAATTGAAAAAATTTTTTAAAAATTTAAAGGAATAATGTTTATTTAGAAAGAAAAGAGCTTTATGAAATCTTTGGCTAACTAGCACTCTGGGAGACCGAGGCGGGAGGATCGCTCGAGGTCAGGAGTTCGAGACCAGCCTGAGCAAGAGCGAGACCCTATCTCTACTAAAAAAAATAGAAAGAAATTAGCTGGACAACTAAAAAATATATATATAGAAAAAATTAGCCAGGCATGGTGGCACATGCCTGTAGTCCCAGCTAATCAGGAGGCTGAGGCAGGAGGATCGCTTGAGCCCAGGAGTTTGAGGTTGCTGTGATCTAGGTTGATCACAGCACTCTAGCCCAGGCAACAGAGCGAGATTCTGTCTCAAAAAAAAAAAAAAAAAAAAAAAAAAGCTTTGGCTGGAAGATACCTATAATAATTTATAAAATTGCTAAAACTTGAAGAGGACCATTTAGTACTGTCAGTAATAAGAGCGAAGTGTTACCAGTCCCCAGATTTGTGCCAGACTGTGGCACTTTCATATAACTGGGGAGGGAGCTGGTCTAGCTTAGTGGAGAGAGCATGGGCTTTGGAACCAGTTCACTGGCTCTAGAGCTGGGTTCGAGTCCCAGCTCCCCCACCTACTAGCTGCAAGGTGCTCTGAATTCCTTACTAGTTTCCTTTGAACAGCACCTTGCACACAGTTTTACCTATCGTCATGGTTACTCTGGTGATAGCTTCTCTACTTGAATTGGGAGTAAGAAATGTGGTTGTTAAGGAAATCCCTAAAAGAAAGACAAGGAAAATGACCAGCAGTAGTGGAGCAGAGAGTGTCATTTAGAACTCGGTCTCTGATAAACACACAGCTGGCCTTCTGTACCCAGAGTCCGTATCCGTGGGTCTGCATCTGTGGATCCAGTCAACCACGGGTCAAAAATATGTGGGGGAAAAACAATGAAAAATAACAATATAACAATAAAAAGTAATACAAATAAAAAGCAGTACAGCACGACAGCTATTTCCGTAGCATTTACATTGTGTTTGGTATCCTAAGCAGTCTAGAGATGATTTAGAGCAGGCGTCCTCAAACTACGGCCCGCAGGCCACATGCGGGTGTTTATGCCCATTTGTTTTTTTACTTCAAAATAAGATATGTGTGTGTGCATAGGAATTTGTTCATAGTTTTTTTAAAACTATAGTCCGGCCCTCCAACTGTCTGAGGGACAGTGAACTGGCCCCCTGTTTAAAAAGTTTGAGGAGCCCTGATTAGAGCATGTGGAAGGATGTGCAGGTTATATGTAAATATGACTCCATTTTATATAGGGGACTTGAGCAGCTGTGGATTTGGTCCTGCAAGGAACACCCCTCGGACACCGAGGGACAACTATATATCTGTATGGTGATGGGACTTTTTTTTTGTTTGTTTTTTGAGACTGAGTCTCACTTTGTTACCCAGGCTAGAGTGAGTGCCGTGGCGTCAGCCTAGCTCATAGCAACCTTAAACTCCTGGGCTCAAGCAATTCTGCTGCCTCAGCCTCCTGAGTAGCTGGGACTACAGGCATGCACCACCATGCCTGGCTAATTTTTTCTATATATATTAGTTGGCCAATTAATTTCTTTCTGTTTATAGTAGAGACGGGGTCTTGCTCTTGCTCAGGCTGGTTTCGAACTCCTGACCTTGAGCAATCTGCCGGCCTCGGCCTCCCAGAGAGCTAGGATTACAGGCGTGAGCCACCTGGTGATGGGACTTTTGAAATGGGAGCTAAGCTTCCAGGAAAAGAATCAGGATGGTTTCTACTTAGCCTTGTTAAGAACAGAATTAAATGAAGTTGTTAAGAGACGAGAGTTGAAAGCTGGAGCAGAAGAAACTTCATTCGAGCTTCATTTGATCTAATCTCACTCTGCTGTAGTGATTCTCACCATGGATGACAAATGGAGCTTGAGAAGCAGCCTCTACCTGACATTTCGACACCCCGTCCTTTGGGATCCTCTTCCATCTTCCTTCTTGTTTTGCTCCTCCCCCTGTTTGAGGACAGCTAACAGTGAGCTATCGATAGATGGATGTTTAGTTGGGGAAGGCGTGGCGGCTTAGCTATGTACCGCACATGCTGCCACTGGGTGGTCTCTCCCGGGCTCGGGCTCGAGGCTCCTGCCTCTTTTTGGGGGCTGTCAGCCCTCAAGCTCCTGGTTGCCCCGCTGGGAAGCCTGCCTCCCCTCTGGCTGTTCCGATCCTTCTGCCCCTTTAGTTGTCCTGGAAACCTCCAGAACTGCTTGCTTCCTTTGCAGCCTGTGGTCTCCCTGCAGCCCCCGCCCCTTCCAGTTTCATGGCATGCTGTCAAAAGCTTGTTCTCCTTTCCTCCTCCTCTCTATTTTTTGGCCCATCCCCATCCCCCACTCTCCCCATTATTTTGAGTTAATTTTAGGTGAGGAGGGATATTGGCATGCCAATTTAAATTAGCATCTTAATCTAAATTTCTTTCTCAAAAAAATGAACTTTTAGACTTCTTGTCCAGTTAGCCTTGTGAGTTCACACAGAAACATTCTCCTGCCAACTCCAAACTCGTAGCGTATTTTAAAATGTTAAAGTCACGTCGTCACGCTCACGAACAGCATACGCAGCTGCGGGGCGGGCGGCGAGCTGGGGCTGAAGAGCGCGCTTACTGGGCTTCGCTTACTGGGCTTCGCAGTGGGAGCCGACTCTCAGCGGTGATGGGCAGTTCAGCTGTCGCAGAATGGTGGGGGCCTGGCGTGTGGCTGGGGACTGGGGTCGAGCCCACCATGTGAAAACTGGTTTGGGTGAGGCTGCTCCATGAATGGAGGCTTAAAAAATGGTGTATGGAAACCGTCAGCATTGAGCTAATGTCTGTGTTAATAGGTTAATAGGAGGGAGGAGAGACTTTGGGCCTTGGGAAGACCAGACTCTGGGCTTTCATAACGGAAATGACAACGTAAGCTAGTCATGGAAAGGTGGCCATTGGGAGAGGAAAGAGTAAGCGATCATGTCAACCATGAAATGAGCGCTCCCAGTGGAGACGCACCCGCGGACTGACAGCACCATCACCAGGAAGCACAGCTGCGCCAGGGCTGGGAGAAACTGATGAAATGTGAACTGAGATGAATCGTAAAACAATTACCTTGAAAAGGAAATCCTTAAAGAGATTAAATCATAAAACATAGGCAAGTTGATACAAACTATTGGAAATCCAAAAATAGATTTCTAATCAGTGAAAAAAACTTTTAAAGATTACAAAAATTAGGACTTCTGGCTTGGCTAAAAAAAAAAAAAATAATAAAAAATAAAAGATTACAAAAGAACTATGTATATACTTTTAAAAATTATTTATTTATTTATTTATTTATTGATTGATTGATTGATTCCGAGTCTCACTTTGTTGCCCAGGCTAGAGTGCTGTGGCGTCAGCCTAGCTCACAGCAACCTCAAACTCCTGGGCCCAAGCGATCCTCCTGCCTCAGTCTCCCGAGTAACTGGGACTACAGGCACGTGTCACCATGCCCAGCTAATTTCTCATATATAAATGAGTTGGCCAATTAATTTCTTTCTATTTATAGTAGAGATGGGGTCTCTCTCTTGCTCAGGCTGGTTTCGAACGCCTGACCTCGAGCAATCCGCCCGGCTTGGAACTCTCAGAGTGCTGGGATTACAGGCGTGAGCCACCTTTTAGAAAGTAGTGATGAGGCGAAAGATCAAAACAGAAATCATCTGTAATGCCCCACCGGTAGCATTATTAATGCATATTTATTCTTCTCTTTATGCACGCAATTTTCTCTACAGATATGGAAACATACTCCAGATTTCCATACGTTTTTCATTAACAAGAACATTTTCATGTCAATAAGTCTTCTATGCCCTTAAATCTACACAATATTGCACATAGGTGTGTTGCAATTTAAACATTCTACTATTTTCAATATACTATAATGAGCATCTTTAAATTTTATTTAAAAAATCTTTTTCTCGGCCGGGCGCTATGGCTCATGCCATGTAATCCTAGCACTCTGGGAGCGAGCCGGCGCGGGGATTGCCCGAGGTCAGGAGTTTGAAACCAGCCTGAGCAAGAGCGAGACCCGTCTCTACTATAAATAGAAAGAAATTCATGGCCAATCATATATATAGAAAAAATTAGCCGGGCCATGGAGCCATGCCTGTAGTCCCAGCTACTAGGGAGGCTGAGGCAGGAGGATTGCTTGAGCCCAGGAGTTTGAGGTTGCTGTGAGCTAGGCTGATACTACGGCACTCACTCTAGCCTGGGCAACAAAGCGAGACTCTGTCTCAAAAAAAAAAAAAAAAAAATCTTTTTTTCCGATTATAAAAGGAAAATATAGGAAAAATGTAAAAGCATAAAGAAGAAAAGAAAGCAGGAGGGGGTAAAGGGTATTTATTGAAACCTTAAAATCTGTACCCCCATAATATGCCAAAAAAAAAAAAATGTACCAACAAATAGAGCAGAAGTTTATAAACAACAAAAAAAGAAGAAAACAAAGCTCACTAATCTCACCGTGCAAATAGAAACTTTATAAATGTAGCTGTGTGTGTGACTCGTGTGTGTATTTTAATCATTAGACATACTGTTTTGTAACCTGTTTTTTTTATGTAACATTATAAATATTAGTAGTTTTCCATGTAAAAATACAGATCAGTATCACCTATAGGGTGTTTTGATGTCATTATAAGGCCACATAAATAACTAATCCCTGTGGTATGGCTTGCTGTCATATTTCACTGTTGTGAGGTCTATGAATGTTATGACATTATTATAACATTAAGATAATTTAATAAGTGTTTTGTTCTTTTAACACAACACTGTGTATGCTTCATTTTTCCAAAGTCAGTTTGCCTATGATCATTGTTTTTGGTCTATGGATGAATCCGTCAGAGAAAAAGTATGCAGGTAATAGAGTCCAGCCTCCTGTCAACTATTGATAGCATAGGAAAGGTGTTTCAATATTTGTTCTGTATACTATCATAGTATTTTTGGGGGGTAACTTTAGAAACTGTACAGACAACTTCCTCTAGTGTTGCTTATTATGCTTTTTACTTGATTGGAAAAATCGGGAGATTCATATGTTGTTTTCTTGGGTATATGATGATAAAATTAAATGAATGGGTATACACGATGGGGGTGTCATTCTCCTCTCTCCTCCCCCTTCTCCAACCCTCTGCTCCCCCTTCTCTCCTCCCTCCCCAATCTCTATCCTCTGCCTGCTGCTCCCTCCCTCCCCCTCTCTCCCTCCCCTCGCCCTCTCTCACTCTCTGCCCCACCTCTCCTCTCCTCTCTCTCTGCCCCAACCTCTCCTCTCCTTCTCTCCGTCTTCCCCCCTTTCTTCCCCTCTCTTTCTCCCTCTCTATCCCCCTCTCCTCCCCCACCACATCTTACATGAGACCGGAAACACACAATTGCCACTAACACTCCCCTGGGTGTCTGTGACTGGTCTATAGAGCAGTGTGACACAGAGAAAGTCGAGCACTGGCCAAGCAGGGAAGGAGCCCCAGAGTGTGGTGCAGCTCTCTGGCCACCTGTGAGCCCTCCAGTGAATCATTTCAACTGTCAGAGCTTCAGTTCTCTCTCTTTGATGGAGAGGAATATACCATATTCTCTCTGTTTTCTTTTTGCTCTCAAAGTCTGTTATTTTATTATTCCCCCAAATGATAACTGTCTCAAGCCCCATTTCACCGGAAGTTTAGGGCTACAATGACAGCCTTTTATTTTCTTTATTCCTAACCACTTATGTCACCTGTTTCTAAGCAATCTCCTTTAAATATTGAGCATCATGTTGTTTTGGCTTCTGTTACGAGAAAGATTAGTACTGTGGCTATTTCACAAATTAAGGTTCGTTTGATGTAAGTGGCCCAGTGATGCCCTGGTATCAGGCGTATGATAAATTTACCTGGTACATTAACTAGGAAGCGAAACATAATGGAATACCATTGCCATAACATAAAAGCATGCAGTTTTCCCCTGTGAGACTCAAAGGGGTTAGATGGCTCGTCAGGTTCACCTTTGATTATTGACTGCTGCACATCTCATTTGGCCTGGGGGGGAGAAATTGACCCTGTTATTTATGTCTGTGATTGAAAGCTGAAGGACATTTCCAGGGTTTTACTCCTTGTCCTACCTGGTATGTTCTCCAGATCCTGTAATTAGAAATTATGACTGAGGAAGAGGAGAGAGAGAGGGGATTGGTGTCAATGTTTGTTCTAAGCGCTAGTACCCACTGAATAGAAGCATTGGCTGGGTGGTGCACCTAGATATAGATATCTATACCTAGATATAGGTGCACCTAGGTCCCAAGCACAAATTGCAGATGTTTATAATCATTGATTATAAAATAAGCAGCTCACTGGCTGTCTGCATTGTAGGGGATTCTTGGTCAGTGTTTATTCACATATGTATTATTGGGAATTTTTTGCTAATTTTCCTTCATGTGCTCACTAGACATAACCTGAAGGGCATAAGCCTTTGGAAGCATTCATCAGGTTTAAAAATCTTATTTGGAGATAAATAAGCTGATTGTGCGTTTTTGAGATTTTTATTTATTTGTTTTTTGGTTTTTGAATTGTGTGTGTGGAGTTTGGGCTTAAAATATCCTCCTTTCTCTTATCTTTCAGGTCAAGATGATGTTTTCAAGTGCCTTGGGGAAAATATCCTTCAGAATGCTTTTGATGGCTACAATGCATGTATCTTTGCCTACGGACAGACTGGTAATGTTAAATAATGTGAAATGACACAAGCAAATATCTGTCAGTGAAAGAGAAAATAGAACCATGTTTACTGAGTAGCATACCGCTGATTCTTTGTTATTAATATTTTCCTTTTCAGAAAGTACTATAGATGATGAAATTAGGCAAGTTTTTAAGAGGGTGTGATAAAATTAGCATTAGTGTCCTTTTTCTTTACTTCTCGCAAGGCATTGGTAGAGTTGTTTTTTTAAAAAAATACATGACATAGCCATGGCTGTTGAACTTATTACTAGCCTTGCCCATGTATCTTTTTTATTTAGGCTTTAAGGATCATAACAGAGAAAATACCAAAAAGATCATGCTTGTTACTGTCTTACCAGTTATAACAGATAAGGAGGTTTTTGGCTTCTGTGCCCCTGTGGTCAAGGAAAGGAAATCTGGTTAAGGTGAACTAGTTACTAGAGCATAGCATATAGCTCATCCAGTTGGAAATGCTCTTCACAGAAAAACGTTTGTGATGTTTTCAGAAAGTATCACATGTAGTCGTTGAAAGAACAGAGAGTGGGAGCCAGGCTGTGCCAGCTCCAGGCCTGCTACTGCCACTGGCTGTCAGGGAACCCGGCGCTTGCTCCAGTCCACCGCTGCCCTTCCGCTCCCTTATCTGCAAAGGTGGATAATTAGAGACCTCCTTGCAGGGCTGTCATCATGACTTACTGTGCAAACTTCAGAAAAGGCCGGGTACTCAGGGAGTGGTACATTAGCTTTAGGTTATGATAATGTGCCATGTGACTAAAGCAGCCACCTATATGGTTAAAACCATGTTTACAAAATCCCTGCCGCTAAACAAGGAAAGAACGACACTTAAATGTCAGTAGTTACTGTTTTCCAAAGGTAGCACTGTGGCGATTTAATTTTTTTCTTCCTATTTTCCTGTGTTTTCTAAATTTTCCTTAATGAATATGTATTTTTATTACAGCGGAGAAACTAATTTTACATTAAAAGTGATTATTGTTTGGTTTGCGCACTAATGCTAAGGGGTAGTAAGTTAGTTTGCGCTGGAGCCCATAGGAAGAACCCATGTTTTTTGTGCTACAATTAGTGGTTGGGAGATGTCACAATGGTATTAATAATAGTATGAATCTTCTCAGATTATTTTAGAAAACTTTTCAAACCTATTTTTCGGTTGTTTTAGGTGTGTTTTTTTTCTTTCTAAAAGACATTTACTTTTGACTTTCACATGTGCAGTGGGAAAGTTTCTATACTAATGCTCATCATTGTGTTAGGGTATATTTCTTACTATATTTTGGGCATTTTGCTAAGTGGTGATAGTTTATTATGAACAATGGAAAGAGGGTTATGTATTTACATTTCCCAAAGAGACAGTGTTAACCCTAATTTTCATTTTTTAGGGTCTGGAAAGTCTTACACCATGATGGGCACAGCTGACCAGCCTGGACTAATCCCAAGACTTTGCAGTGGGCTCTTTGAACGAACTCAGAAAGAAGAAAACGAGGAGCAGAGTTTCAAAGTAGAAGTGTCCTACATGGAAATTTATAATGAAAAAGTCCGAGACCTCCTTGATCCCAAAGGGTAAAAGACTTGAAGACTTCAGTGTTCTAGCATTATGGACTAAACCAGACTTAATAAATTGGCTTAAGGGAAACTTTTATATCGAACTATAGTAGAGAATCATCCAGTTATTGTCCTTGTAATTTATTTTTAGCTATATTGAGTACCTGCGGCTAATTCTGGGCTTTTGGACTTTAGGGCTGGTGTGAGAGAGGCGTGAGGGCAGCGTGAGTGGTTGAGAAGGCACAAAACTGCCTTTCTCAAGTTCGTGCAAAGCCACAAATAATATGTAGTGAAAATTAGTCATTTATTATCAGGATAACTGGTAGCCTTAAAGAATTAGTTGTTTTTTTTTGTTTGTTTGTTTGGTTTTTTATTAGGGGGACAGGCTCTCTATTATCCAGGCTAGAGTACAGTAGCATCATCATAGCTCACTGCAACCTCAAACTCCTAGACTCAAGTGACCCTCCTGCCTTAGCCTCCCAAGTATCTGGGACTACATGTGTGTGTCACCATACTTGGCTAATTTTTCTATTTTTTTTATAGAGTTGGGGTCTTGCTGTGTAGTCCAGGCTGATCTCGAACTCCTGGCCTTAAGTAATCCTCCTGCCTTGGCCTTCCAGAGTGCTAGGATTACAGGTGTGAACCACCATGCCCAGTCTTGGTGTGTGTTTGTTTCTTTCTTTTTAACCAAGAAATTTCAGGTGGAACTCAGCTATTTTTTTACAGTTGCAGGCTGTGAAGTGAGGAAGACACATAATCAGAGATATGAAACCTGGTCTTTAGGATAATTAATTTTAAAGATTCTCAGAATAAAAAAAAGTAGTCTTGATTTCATGGCATAGACTTTGAAAGAGAAGAGGCTCAGAAGTGTTACAAGGCCTTCAAAAATGCTGTTTGCAACATAGTAAGACCCCGTCTCTACAAAAAATAGAAAAGTTAGCTTGGTGTGTTGGTGTGCCAATTGTCCCAGCTACTTGAGAGGCTGAGGCAGGAGGATCCCTTGAGCATAGGAGTTCATGGCTGCAGTGAGCTGTAATTAGGCCATTGCATTCCAGCCTGGGTGACAGAGCAAAACCCTGTCTCCAAAAAAAAAGAAATGCTGTTCTGATTCTACAGCCATAACTGAACTTAATGCGGAAAGTCAGGGAGATATCTGGGGAAATCTGTTCATTGCACAGAAGGTTCTTCGAGTGCAGATTTTCAGGAAGCGCAATAGTGGTAGGAAAGAGATGGAGATAATGACCGCAGCGGTGGCCTGTTGATGTGAAACAATATTAGGTCACAGAGCCAAAGGAGCTGAGGCTCACGGAAAGTTTGGGGGCCGTGACAGGATGTTTGGTTTTGTTTGGATGAAGAGGATGATCAAGGAAGGATGATCTTAGAGGTGATGAATCGTAGCAGCGCTCGGTCAAGAGCAAACAGCCCTCGGCTCCTAGCCGCCATCAGTTTTCTTTGATGGAGATAATCATCTTCAGGCCTCACACAGGAAGCGTTTCTCTACAACCTTTACTTAACAAACGTGTATCGCGCCATCGTTACAGGCCAGGCTCCGTGCAAGTCAGCAACGGAGCTCGGTGTGGACGGAAGGAGACTTTTGTAAACAAATAACTATAATACAATCTAGTCTGCTTTCACTTGTGAAAGAGGCTCCTACATACAAAATAGAGAAAAAGAGGGAATGACCTTGCCCAGAGGAGAATATTCCACAGCTGGTGAATTTTGCGCTGAGTAGGTGAATTTTGCGCTTTGTCTACTGAGAAGTCAAGGGGGAACCATTTAAGGTGTAAGGAACAGCCTGTGCCAAGCTCGGAGGTGTGCGGGAGTCACCTGTTTGGAGAGAGAGCCAGCGGCTCAGTGTGGTTGGCGGGTGGTATGCCCGGAAGTCAACAAAGGGAGGCCAGAGATGGGCAGGTGATGGCCCAGGTACCCACATCTTGCTCGATACTGTAACCCCGTACATTCCACAGTGCTTTCGTGGAGTGGCTTGAACTTTACTATCTACAGATGTTCATAGTCTGGTGGTTTCTTATATGTTTGTTTTGTGTGTAGGTTAGTAATTAACAGCACGGGCTTTGGAGTCACAGAGCTCTGGGTCCACGTCCTCTGCCTGTGACCCACTGAACAAGTCCCTTGCAATTTCCAGTCCTCACTGTGCAGAGGGGATGGTACTATTATGCAGTATCTCAGAGGGCTGCTTGAAGATAGGTCAGGATGATACGCTAGAGGTCTTAGAACGTCTATCTCTACTTTATCTGCAGTTACACAGTAATAAGTGACTTTTTTAGTGGTTGATCCTAGGGTACTTTAGGCTCCAAATCATTAGAAAACATTAAGTTAAAGTCAGTATACTGGAGGACAATAAACATTTTAGATTTGAGTCATTTCCTCATTCTCCAACTTTGCTGCATACATGAAAGGTTATTCTGTAACTATTCATTATCTCGCCATCAGTACCTCTGCTTGCTTTATTGTGAATAATAATAGCTTTGGGTGCGGTTTCGGATTCTGTGCTGGCTGTGCGTTTCATACCTTCTCTGTCACCATTTCTTCCTCTTCCCGGCTCTCCCCCCTCCCCACCTTTTCTTGTTGTGCTCCCTCCCCCATCACATAAGCCGACACACTTTGGGGTCCTTTTGTCACCTTTCCCTCTCTTGCAAGTTTGTTCGTTCTTTTCGCTAGAAATTGTGCTGGGAACTACAGACCTGAAGATTAATAAGACATTGTTTTTGCTGTTCTGGGGCCGATAGTCTGTTAGAGAATGGATATATGTAAATCAGTTCTGACCCAAGGTGAGGATTGGGAGAAGGTGAGTGAGGAGAGGTAGACAAGGGCAGATAACAAAAGAGCCTGCATATGTTTACAAATATATATATTAAGCCGAGGAGTGGACTTTATTTAGTATGCATTGAAGAACAACCAAAGAATTTTAAGCATTATAATTCATTACTTATTTAAAAAAAGAAGGCCAAGCATGGTGGCTCACACCTGTAATCCCAGTACTTTGGGAGGCTGAGGCAGGAGGATCACTTGAGGTGAGAAAGGGAAAGCTGCAGTGGAGGTGCTAGGAGGACGTGAGGAACGGAAGCACTCGTGTCCTCTTCGGCTCAGCGTCCAGCAGACACAGGATGTGCACATACAGTATCAGCGCATGCGTGTGGTGTAGAGTCGTGACAGAGCGTGATCCTTGGATAGGAGTTTGGTGAAAACAGACTATTTCCAGGTTCCTTTAGTCCTGGTCAGGTGGGCGAATCAGGTATGTGGGAATTAGAGGATATAAGTTATAGTGACAATTTCACTCCTGATAGAGGTATCAATCTTGAATGGAACATTTTACCTGTCTACTATTTTTCTATTTTTCAAAATGGAAAAATAATTTTAAGTGATGCCTTATTTTCTCGTTGATCAAGAACTTATTGAAAGACTGTTACTACGTTGGAAATTAAGAAAGATGAGTTCAACGCAGGTTTCCAGTAGCTTCTCAGAGGACACGGTTATTGACCTATATTTCAAGAAACAGCCTTTGTGGAGGGAAGTAGGATTTCTCCTGGTTCCTGTATCTTCTTGAAGAGCTAACTGGTAGTCAGCTTTTAATGCAAATCTTTCCACAGCATTAGAATGTGCTTCACCAAGTGAAAGCATTCTTCACATAGATGTCAGGAAGTTCTGCTTAAATGGAATGCTAAAATTGGATAAATTTGCCACAGTTACGAAATCAGGTAGATTACTTCCCTTGGCCAAAATGCAATAAACTTAGAATTTTAAAACAAAGGATAACCAAATTTTCATAATTAAAACCACTTGTAAATGGGTATTACAAAACATTTTGCTACCAAGGAATGTGCTAGTAATGAACTTTGAGATCTCACTTCTTGCTTTGTTCCAGAAGAAATCTTGATAAGTTACTTATTCTTCCTCAGACATTCCACAGAAACATTTCCTGGTCATATATTGCCTTTGTTTCATCATTGCTTCTTCAGTCCCTTTACAGCAAAGAAGAAATATATCTTTTGTTCTTAATAATTTAATTGGCATAGTGAAAATGGCCTAGGTCATGATTGAGCGGCCCTGTGGGCAGGAAGCCAGCAGGCCTTTTTCAGGTGAATCAGGTGCCTGCCATGGGCTTTACCTGCATCAACTCATTTACTTCTCAGAAGGTAATGAACTTGGGACCAGCCTGGGCAACATAGTGAGACCCCATCGCTACAAAAAATAAAAAAGTTAGCCAGGCATGGTGGTGCATGCCTGTAGTCCCAGCTACCAGGAGCTGAGGCAGGAGGAGTGCTTGAGCCCAGGAGTTAAGGCTGTAGTGAGCTATGATCGCACCACTGCACTCCAGCCTGGGCTGCAGAGGGAGACACTGCCTCTTTAATAAAAAAAAAAAAAAAAAGGAAATGTGGTGTCCCTGTTGTCAGATGAGGCAATGGTGCAGGGCTAATGACTGGCAGAATCAAGATTGGCACCCAGGCTGACTTCTCTGCCCCTGTTTTCGCCAGTGCTTTGCTCTTCTTAGCAAAGGTTTA